TTTTACTTTCCTGCATCCTCTCCTCCCTCAGACCCAGGAGTCCAGGTCCCCAGCCCCTCCTCCCTCAGACCCAGGAGTCCAGGTCCCCAGCCCCTCCTCCCTCAGACCCAGGAGTCCAGGCCCCCAGCCCTCCTCCCTCAGATCCAGTAGTCCAGGCCCCCAGACCCTCCTCCCTCAGACCCAAGAGTCAACGTTCATGCAGACTCACATGCTCCAGACATAGCCTGTGGGCTCCGGGTTGCTGTGGACATCACAGTTCCGAGTGGCCTCACTACAGCTGAGGTGCCAGCTGTCGTCATAACCAGAGATGGAGACCTCGGGGTGGGGGTAGGGGGCCAGGATGAAACAGACACGCAAGCTCAGTGACAGGGAGCCTTGGGAGGGGCCTAAAGATATGCGAGATTCACGCCAGAGGAGGAAAAAGGCTCAGCGCATTTCAGGAACAGCCCGAGATGGAGAGGCCTGGGAGGCGTCTGGGGCAATGCTTCCCCCGGGAGCCCTGGCCGTGGGAGGAGGCAGCACACAGAGAGGGCTCGGGACCTGCCTCCCTCTCCTTGTTCTGGGCAGCCAGGCCCCGGCTTGCCTCGCGAGTCCCGGGAGATCAGGGCACTTGGACACGCAGGCCATCGTCAAGGCTCTGACAAGTCCTGCAGGAGAGAATCCGGGATGAGCGGGTCAGCCTGCTGCTTGTCCATCCCAAACGGGATCGGTCAGAGGGAGGCCCATGAGACGGTGGTTTTGCTGACTGGGGGAGGTCAGTGTAGACCCCTCCTCCCTCAGACCCAGTGACAATATCGAGAGTGTCCAGTGCAGATCGCACTTGAGGGAATCAGCGTAGCCACTGCCCATCCGTGTAGACAATGACAGGAGGACACGGACCCTAGAGGCGCCAGTGCAGCCAACATTGGGGGCAGTGGAGGGAGTGCCTCCGAGAGCCAGGGTAGGAAATGTAGGGTGTCAGTGCAGACGGCGGTCACAGGAGCGGCCCGGACGACACGGGGAATACAGCGCCCTGGGGCTGGTGACCTAAGTGACTGTGTAGACGATGGGGGCAGTGCTCTCTGCGGCCCAGAGGAGCCAGTGTAGACGATGGTAAGGCGTGTGGAAAGCGGACAGGGAAGGTGGTGTAGATAATGGGACGGCGGCTTAGCAATAGGGCCAGGTCAGTGTATGCAGTTGCCCAGGGAAGCGGGTGCGGGCGATGTGAGGACTGTGCTGAAGGGAGCCGTGTAGACAGTGTGGGTGTCTGTGTAGACAGGGGCCAGGGAACCCAGGGGAGACCACCTGGGGAGCAGCGAGGGCTGTGGGCCATGGGTGAACCTGAGGGGGGTGGGCGGCGAAGGATGGAGAAGACAGACAAGAGAATAAAGCTGGGGCTAGGTGGGACGCGCCTCTCTGATGGAGAGACAGCGCCACAGCCTACAAACCGAGTCTTTATTTTAGAGTCAGATCCCACGAGGCAAAGGAAGGGCGTGGTCAAGATGTTTACAATGTTCTCCTGGGTTTCGAATCTACTCAATTACATGCACCTGATCAACGTTAGTAACAAAGAAACAGAATTTCTGGAGGATGAGGCCCAGAAATCAGGATTTTAAAAAGATTCCCAGGTGATTCTCATGTGCAGCCAAGGTTGAGAACCACTGCTGTAGCCGCTCTCCACATTGGTCAGGTTAGTGAAGAGCCGTGCTGTGTGGGCCGGCTGGCAGTGGTTGCCACGCACGCTCACACGTGGGCACAGACACAGGGCACAGTGGGGGGCATGGGCAGCTGGCCGGGCTCCTCCAGGCCCCGTGCTCCCCTGTGCAGGTGGCAGCCTGGCTGTCCACCTGGCTGGAGGGTGTTGAGGTTAAGAGGCTGAAGCAGTGAGTTGCCGGGCAGGGTCCTGGCACCAGCTCTTGCTGACCTTCCCATCCAGGGACCAGGAGATCCGGGCGGGTGGGCGACCTCCGATGGAGACACAGCGGGCCTCAGGCGCAGGCTCCTGGCCTGGCGGGCTGGGCGGGGCCTCCTGGGTCTCAGCCTTGTTCTGGGGCTTGGCTGGGGACAGGGGCAAAGGGACAGGTCACTCCTCACCTGCCGTCATTCAACCGAGGTCTCGGCCGCAGAGAAAGGGGCTGATCGCGGGTACAGGGCAGGCAGGTTCACATCTCAGCCCTGGCCCCGAGCAGCTGGGTGGCCTCGGGCAAGTCTGTGCCTCAGTTTCCTTCTCTGTCAAGTGGAGATGACAGGACCACAGGCAATGAGAATAGGCACGTGGCACTCTGAACGTGGTACCTGACACATAGTAAATGCTCAACAGACGTGGCTATTACTGGGGACTGAATGCATAGCCTGCTCTGGGATGGGCAGTGTTGGGGACCCAGCAATGGCCCAGACAGCCCCGCCCTGCCCCCTGGGTTGGACAGTCCAATGGAAGACAGACTCCTCCCCGACAGTGAGGACCCACGGGGGCCTGAGTGTGTGTGGGGCGGGGGTTGCGGAGGGCTTTGCAGGGGCGAGGAGGGCTGAGCTGTGCCTGGAGGTCACGAGGGGACGTGCCTGCCTCACGGTTGTAAGTGACAGGACTGGGCGTTCACTCCGGGCCTGTCTGGGAACCATCCTTCTGTTATCCCCAAACCCGGCTCCCGTGGTCCCTTCCCCGGCGTTCCTGCGTATTCGCCGAAGATTCCTCTTTACCTTGACTCCCAGGTTTTGCTTCACCCTCATCCTAAACCGTAAGACCCGGGCCCCAGGTTTGCGGAAGTGACCAGAGCTGCTTGGCTCCGGTGCCGGGTGCCGGGTGCCGGGTGCCGGGTGCCATCCCTGCTCCAAGCACCTGGCCCTTCGTGAGTCACTGGCACAGCCTGGAACGGTTCCTGGCTCAGCAGCGAAAAATAAAGGTCAGCCTGTATGCACCCTCGGAGCAATATCCATGCCACACACGAGGAAACTGAGGCACAGAGACTCGTACTCGGGGTGATGAGAGCCATTGTTTGAACCTTGTGTGGATCTGGAGCGGGAGCCTGCACAGGGGGCTGTTCTAGCTCTTGAACTTGGATGAGAGCAGCTGCTTGGCCTGCTCTGGCTGCGAAGCTGACGCCGCTGCGGGGGCTCCTTCCGGCTCCCGAGTTGGAATGAGAGCTGCGGCGTGAGCCTGCTCTGGCCCTGGCTCTGGAGCTTGAGAGAGAGAGCCGTGGCTGCAGCATCCACTGGCCCTGGGCTTTGGCGGGCAGTCGCCTTGGGGCTGGCACCAGCTCTTGAGGTGGTTCAGAGTTTTCTCTGGAGCTGGTGCCTCTGTCTCCGGCTCCAGGTGCTCCAGCTGTGTGTGGGGGTGGGGGGATGGGGGGGGCGCGGCACTCCCGGCCTGAGCCTGGAATCAACATACATGTACCGAGCACACATCGTATGACACACGTGTGTCCTGCTGGCATGGAGCTGACAGCCTCATGGATGAGATCACTGTTCAATAATTACACCCATAAGTACCTAATGGCACCATGCGATGAGCGATGAGCGTTGTCAAGCAGAAAGTGCTAGGAGAGAGCTTAGCCACGGGACTGGTTGAGAAGAGGGTGGTCAGCAGGCTTCTGGGAGGAGCTCTGCCCAGTTCATTTCTGGAGGGGAGGAAGCTCATGATGCTCAGCTGCTCCCGAGGGCACGGGGTCCTGCTGCGTCCTGGGCCAGGGGGCGGCTGCTGGCTCCAGTGCCACCTCTGACACACAGCCAGCCTGGGAGCAGCTCCCTGAGGGCCCAACCAGGCGGGAAATTATTTCTTCCCCGACAGCGAGGTAAGCGGGAGGAGGGAAGGGGTCGGAAGGACACCTTGGTGGGAAAGGTGCTGGTTAGATATCAGGGGCTCCCGAGCACAGCTGGATCTTTGGACAGAACAGGGCCAGGCCCCGGAACAGCCACACAGCCAGGGGTCTGTGCATAGGGCTGCAGGGTGATTTATTTATTTTTAAACAATAAGGACTCAGCATTGCACCTTCTGATTCCACAGCCCACCGTCCCGGGTGGTATTATAAATTAAAACTCAAATTAATGGAAGGGAAATAAAACCTAAAATTCACCTCCTCAGCTACTCTGCCCACATTGACAGAGCTCAGTAGCCACAGGTATTGGACAGTGCAGATATATACTTATCCATAACCGCATTGAATCCTATTGGACAGCGCTGGTCTGTGCTACGGGCTTCAGGCGCACTTGAGTTGGCATCATGTGTAGCTGTGTGACCTCGGACAAGTCACTTGCCCCCTCTGAGCCTCACTTTCACCGTCTGTGCATGCGCACAGTGATATTTATCTGGCATAAGAGGTGGTGGGACCCCAGAGAGATGGGTTAGGGGTTCTGGCCTCAGGGAGGGAGCAACAGGGGAGTGGGGTGATCAGAAACAAATTTCAGGCAGACTGCTTCGGAGACCAGCTACCTGTGTGGATGATATAAGATAGGACTCGCAGGAGGTACACAGTGTGGGGGCTGGCACACTGACATCTGTTTGGGTCTGCTACTGCTATTATTAATCATAATGACATGGTCAGTGGCTTTCTGTTGAATGTTCCTCAAATGTCAGATATTTCCACATGGGAGTTTCCCCCTTGCCTGCCATCTGCCAGGATTCTCCAGCAGCTCAGAAGCCAGTGGTCAATCTTGTGCGATTTCTGGGGTGGTGAACACCGCCCCACTCCCCTGCATTGGGAAGTTTTCTTCTTCTGTAGCAGACACAGTTTGGGATATCTGCCCAGCAAGGCCACACTCCCCCATTTTCTGAGTACTGAGCCCCCACAGGTAGCGCTGAGCTCCCAAGGCTTTGATTATACCTGCCCCCTCCCCAGCCACAGTGGTGGGACCAAGGTTAACACCTGACCCAAGTGAGCCAATCAGATGCCTTTCCCACTGTTTCGGAAACAAGGCAAAGGGGTTTGGGCTAAGCTGGGCTGTTCCCTGCTGTTATAGATGTAGAAGCTGTGGGATGGTGTTTTCTCCTCGTGGAGGGGCTGTTTCGGAAACAAGGCAAAGGGGTTTGGGCTAAGGTGGGCCGTTCCCTGAAACAGCGCTGTTACAGACGTAGAAGCTGTGGGATGGTGTTTTCTCCTCGTGGAGGGAGAAGCACTGAGCAGCCGTCTGTAGAAAGAGACAGAGAGAGAACTGTGAATCCATGTTCCTGGAGGAGAGGATTACAAAGGGAGGGGTGGGCGGCAGAGAGAGGCAGCGAGCAACTGCCCTGGTCCAAGCACTGATGGCCACCGGGTTCTTCCCCTCCCATAACAGGCGGAGTCCATTTCCCCACCTCTCGAATCAGGGCTGGTCATGTGACTTGCTCTGGCCAATAGAATGTGGCGGAAGTGGTGATGTGTCAGTCCCTAACCTTGGCCCTAACACCCAGTGGTTCTCAACCTTCCTAATGCTGCGACCCTTTAATACAGTTCCTCATGTTGTAGTGACCCCCAATTTCATTGTTACAAATTGAACATAATTAAAGCATAGTGATTAATCACAAAAACAATATGTAATTATATATGTGTTTTCCGATGGTCTTAGGCAACCCCTGTGAAAGGGTCATTTGACTCCCAAAGGGGTCGCGACCCACAGGTTGGGAACCACTGCCTAACAGGCATTGCCCTATCTGCTCTCACTTTTGGAATCCTGCCTCTGTCATGTGAACAAGCTTGGGTCGGCCTGCTGGGGTATGAGAGATGATGCAGAGAGAGGCTGGTGTTTCCAGGTGAGGTGATCCTATGCCAGGCACCCCTTAGGCAGTCTGCCAACTGACCGTGATGCATGAGTGAGCCCAACAGAGACTGGAAGAATGGCCCAGCTAACCTCAGCTCAAATTGATAACCCACAGAACTGGAAGCTAGATAAATGGCTGTGGTTTCAAGGCTTAAGTATGGGAAGGTATAGTTTGTTACACAGCAAGTGCTAACTGATACATCCTCGGATTCCTGAAAATCTTCTTGGATCCTAATATCAAACCCTTCCTTGTATTTTTAAAAAAATATATTTTTTATTGATTTTTTACAGAAAGGAAGGGAGAGGGATAGAGAGTTAGAAACATCGATGAGAGAGAAACATTGATCAGGTGCCTCCTGCACACACCCTACTGGGGATGTTCCCTCAACCAAGGTACATGCCCTTGATCAGAATCGATCCTGGGACCCTTCAGTCCGCAGGCCAACACTCTATCCACTGAGCCAAACCGGTTAGGGCTCCTTGTATTTTTTATTGAGCCACTACAGTGCGTTTCTTTTGCTGGCATCCCATGAGTTTTATGAAATACACACTGCTTGTGGAGGTGGTCTCCAGGAGTTTGGTGAGATGGGCAGATGGGGTGTCTTGTACAATCGGTCCCCAGGGCTCTCAATAAAGGGGGAACATCCCACAAACAAGTGATCAGGAAACCAGGAGGGAGGAGATCGCCTATGGAGCCCCCAGGAACTTCATCTCATCCCTGAACATAGGCTTCTCTTCCCGCCCTTCGTGGCATCAGCTCCCAGGCTGACAGGCAGGTACTCACTTCAGCAGCATCTTCGTATTCTTCGCCTGTCAGTCCTGCAATGAAATAAAGAGAAATTATAATCACAGTCACCACAATAATACACTTACTGAAGGCTGAACATATACCAGGCACTCTTTTTAAAAAAAATATGTTTTATTGATTTTTTACAGAGAGGAAAGGAGAGGGATAGAGAGTTACAAACATCGATGAGAGAGAAACATCGATCAGCTGCCTCCTGCACACCCCCTACTGGGGATGTGCCTGCAACCAAGGTACATGCCCTTGACTGGAATCGAACCGGGGACCTTTGCGTCTGTAGGCCAACGCTCTATCCACTGAGCCAAACCGGTCAGGGCTACCAGGCACTTTTTACAGCGCTTTCCTCCCGTTGTCTTAGCTGCTCGCACACCCACACTTTGAGGTAAGTATTACCGTCATCCCTGTTTTGCAGACGGGGCACAGAGCATTAAAGGACTCACAGAATGTCACACATAAGCTAGCACTTGGCAGAGCTGGGATGAACCTAAGTAGCCTCATTTGGGGTCCATGGCCTTAACGGCAAACAACAGGGATATCTGCTGGCCGTTGGTGGCTGTGGTCGATGTGTGTGGGGCTGCCACCCCTCCCCAATGGTAGCGTCCAGACAGTCATGCCTGTTCCCATGACCTCATCTCCAAGGTCACCGCTGATTCACCCAGGCTGGTTCCTTCTGGTGGACGCCAGAATCGATCTGTTGTCTGAAACTATTAGTAAATGGGTTTTGGCCAAGATGGTGGGGAGGACCAGAAGTGACACCTCCAACCCACTCATGGAGACAGGAAATCGGGTGGTCTGGGCGAGGAGGGTTATGCCAGCCGGACGTCTCACCCTTCCTTCCTAAGAACTTGGCTTTGGAATTGGATCTGGGTCTGGTTCAGGGTCAGCCAGTTGTCAGCTGTTTGTCGTTGGGCAAGTTGATGAGTTTCTCTGAGCTCTGGTTCCACTCATTTTGAAAACGAGGACAAGAACAGAACCCGCCCCTGAGAGTTTTTGTGACTCAGAGATCTTGGCTCATCCTGAGGACCCAGGAAATGCCACAGGGAAGATGATGTGGGTGACTCAGGCAGCCGCCTGGCCCTCCCCTGCCTCCAGAAGGCTCCCCATGGAACTCACAGACCAGAGATCTGGGCAAGGCCTTGCCAAACCATTTCAACTTGCAGATTTCTCTTCCTCGGTCCATAAGCTACGAAGGTGTGCATTGTAAATGGTGAAAAAAGAGGCGGCGTGGGTTAGAGGCTGGAACTGGGAGTGAGGCAGGGTTTTGAGTTGGAATCCCTTCTCTCCAGCTGTGGGGTCTGGGGCCAGTCACTTCTTCCTGGGCCTTCGTTTCCTCTCTGACAAAACTGAGATCTTCATCGCTACCCCACCCGGCTACCCTCTCTTGTGGAGATTACAAAGAATAATGTCGCCCTAGCTGGTTTGGCTCAGTGGATAGAGCGTCGGCCTGCGGACTGAAGGGTCTCAGGTTCGATTCTGGTCAAGTGCACATGCCTGGGTTGCAGGCTCAATTTCCAGTAGGGGGCGTGCAGGAGGCAGCCGATCAATGATTCTCTCTCATCATTGATGTTTCTATCTCTCTCCCACTCCTTTCCTCTCTGAAATCAATAAAAATATATTAAAAAAGAATAATGTTTAGCAAGCACATAATAGGCATTCAATACAGGGAAAGTTATTATAGTATGGTAATAGCGGACACAGCTAGGATTAAAATGTAAGTCAGAACAACTGAGCACTTCTGCCCACCACAGAGGCAGTCACTCACTCACTCATTCATTCACTCATTCATCCATCCATCCATCCATCCATCCATCTATCCATCCATTCCCTCCTCTGCTCTAAACCCACATGACCCCCATCTCACTCAGAACAAAAGCCAAGTACTGACATGACCCGCACACCTTCCACTGTTTGGTGCCCCACCCTTTCCCTCTCTGATCTCAGGCCTTGCTTCTTTCCCCATTCCTCACGCCACTCCAGCCACACTGGCCTCCTTGCAATTTTTTTTTAACATGCCAGGCAAGTCCCACCTCAGGGCTTTTGTACTTGCTGTTCCCTCTGCCCGGTGTGCCCTTTCCCCACATACACACGGGCTCCCTCCCTCCTTTCCTTTGCCCAATGTCTTTGCTGAAATGTTACTCTCTCGGGGAGGTCTTGACTGACTTAGCTCAATTGCTCCTCATCCCCACACTCCCTGTCCCCCTTCCGGCCTTATTCCTCTCCTTAGCACTCATCATCCCTCAACATACGGCCTAGAGTTCACTGGGTCACCACATAATTGTTGGTATCTGCCTAGGATGAAAGTTCATGAGGGCAGGGACTTCGCACTATTCATCCCCACAGTATCCCCAGCGCCTGGCTCATAGATCTGTGCAGAAGGAACGAATACGATGCTTACTGCATCCCAGACACTGTTTTAAACACTTTAGAAATATTAGCTTGTTTAATCCTCACAACAGTCCTGTGAGGCAGGTATTATGATTGTCATCCCCATTTTGCAGATAGGCAAACTGAGGCACAGAAAGGGGGAGTGACTTGCCCATGGCTTCACTGCGGGTAAGTAATGGAACTGGAATTTGCACCAGGCAGACCAGCATCAAAACCCTCTTCTGACTCCTGTGGTCACTGTGGGAACGGAGGAGGTAGATGGCCACACGGGGTCAGTGCCTTCCGCTCTGAATGAGCCTAAAGCTCCTTGGGACGAGGCGTTTTGCTTCGTTTTGTTTTGTTTGGCTGCTGAGTGGGGAGGTCAGTCCAGGCACACGGGTCAGGGACAGACGGTACCTTTGGGCCTGGGCGATGGCGGAGCCAATTCCTACCATCACCACCACCAACCCGGCACATCCGGCCAGGAGGAGGGCGATGGCAGATCCTCCTGACACCGTGAGAATGGGGTCCAGGTCGACGGGCTCGTCTGTGGAATCCATGTCGACTTCTGGAAACCGAGAATGGGTGAGACTGGAGCAACCGCCCTCCCTCCACCATCCCCACTCCCACCATCCCAGCTCCTCAGTGTCGCTTCCATCCCTCCCTTCCTCCACATCCTCTAGGTCTCCGCCCAGGCCTCCTCCCTGCTCTCCCGCCCCAGTCTCTCCCCACCCATCGCCCCACCATATGGAAGTCAGTGTCCCCTCTGAAGCTCAAACTTGACCCCGTACCCCCTCTGCTCAAAAGCTCGCCGTGACTCCCCAGGACCTGGGGAGGAAGCATGGCCTTCAAGGCTCTGCCACCTGGACAGCCTCAGTGCACGAATTTCATGTACTGGGCCTCTAGTTAATACTATCGATAATGCTAATTGTAGCAATGATACTATCGAGTGTGTATCCAATACTCACTAGTGGTCAGTTAGTATGAGGCACTGTTATTTTAAGCTGTTCACCTGCTTATCTCATTGAATGCTCACAACTATACTTTGGGTGGGCACTCTTATTTTTCCAATTTTACAGGTGGGGAAACTGAGGCACAGAGCTGGTCCAAAGTCCCGTGGCCAGGAAGTGGAGCCAGAATTCAAACTCCATGCCCATGCTCAGAACCACTTGTTACACGAGCACCTGCACTTTCCCGCCGGCACGTGCTGAGGCTCAGAGAGGCGAAGGGGCTCCAGAAGTCACACCCGGCAAGTGGTGGGAGCCGGGAGCCAGGCAGCGGGCTTCAGATCATGAGCTGAGCTTCCACAGACTGTCATCTGTAAAATGGGCTAATGATGCCCAATCTGCCATGTGCATGTGATGACAACTTGGCTACAGAGCGTCTCAGAGGAGACTGCTCACAGAAGGGGGTTCAGGGGAACCAGGAAAACTGGCCACCGACCAACGAGGGTGCAGGGGTTTGGGGGAGGGCCGGGGGACTTACCTGGCAGGGAGACCTTTACAGGCTCGGAGGAGAGCTGTTCCTGGCTGTTCTTGGCCACGCACATATAGGTACCCAAGTCCTCCCTGGACAACCGCCGGATGACCAGCTTCTCCCCTGTCCCTCGGGGCTGCCCGTTGAAGGTCCAGTAAATCACGGGTGTGGGTCTGGATGCAGCCAGACAGCTCAGGATCACCGAGTAGTTGAGTTCACTCTGGACGACGCCCCGCAAAGTCTCCGGGAATGTGTGTAGCAGCACCTGGGCTGTGCGAACAGGGAGCAAGGCCATGTGGGTGGACAGGACTTGGAGAGACTGAGCCCTTCTTCTGCCCACCACAGAGGCATTCATTCATTCATTCATTCATTCACGAACAAATGGACGTGGAGTGCCTGGTCCGTGCCCTGCACTGCTCCAGGCACTGGGCATAGCGGAGCTGTTGGTGCCCCCACCCCAGCTCCCAATCATCCCCACTTCCAGCTTCTGTGCCCTGAGGGCTTCTGCTGGCTGCCAGAGCCCATACTTCCCATCGAGGCAGCAGGTCAGCCTGTTGGGGAACGGGTACACCGGGAGTGGCCCCCCGCAGTGGCTGACGTGGGAGTTATATAAATATCCCAGCCCCACCGCCCCAGCTGGACCAGGGCGAGGCGAGGAGCTGGGAGGAGTGCTTGCATTCTGGGTTATTTTGAAGGCAGAGCCCCAGGATTTGCTGATGGATTGGATGTGGGTGGGGGAGAAAGAGAGGAGTCAAGGGGGCCTCCGAGGCTTGGGGCTTAGCTACCGGCTCCTGGGGGATGCTCTTTACAGATGGGACACACACAATTCTCCCCCTCGTCCAATTCCCATTTTATTTTATTTTACTTTATTTTATTTTAATTTAATTTTATTTAATTTTATTTTATTTTATAGCTGAAAGACTGTGAAGTTTGGGTGTCTTAGGGTCAGGTCTAAGGGTCAGGAGAACACAGCTGGGATTTGAACCTGGGGAGCGTGATGCCATGGTGAATGCTGGGAATCTCCACATGCGGCTCATTTCAGATTTCAGTGCAATGCAAGTGAAAAGCTGTGGCCCAGCCAGAGAGCTCACAGGAGCTGCCTGGAGCAGGTGGTGCCAAGCTAAGCCTTGCAGGAGGAGAGGGAGCCCACCAGGTGTAGAAACAAGAATCAATGTCACAGATGCCTAGACCGGGTTCTTATATGAGCCAAACACCATTCTACACACACGTTAACTCCCAGTTTGTTACTGCGAGGGAGACCCAGGCCTGGGGGGAACCATTTAGTAGGTTGCAATCAGCATTTAAAACTCAAAATGAAACATAATGCGAAATGGCAGAATGCATTACTCCTAGCAATGATGGCTATTTTATGACATTTGTCTTTTAGTTACTTGTGGTGTGTGTATATGAACACACTGGGTCATATTTGAAATGCATCTCTTACTGTGAGTCATGATTTACTAACTTTTTAAAATCCTCACCTGAGGATATATTCAGAGAGAGGATGGGGGGGTTGGAGAGAGAGAGAGAGAATGAATCAGTGTGAGAGTGAAACATTGGTCAGTTGCCCCCTGTACAAGCCCTGACTGGGGATAGAACTTGAAGCCCATGTATGTGCCCTAACTGGGAATCAAACCCGCAACTTTTGGTGTATGGGATGATGGTCCAACCAACTGAGCCACCCAGCCAGGGCTACCACAGCTTTTGTTTTTATCCATTCCTCTATTGATGGACACTTGGCTGCTTCTAAATCTTGACTATCGTAAATAATGCTGCAGTGAACATAGGGGTGCACATAGTCTTTCAAATCAGCATTTAGGGTTTCTTCAGATACATTCCCAGAAGTGGAGTCACTGGGTCATAAGGCAGTTCCATTGTTAGTGTTCTGAGGTAACCCCATACTGCTTTCCACAGTGCCTGCACCAGTCTTCATTCCCACCAATACTGCATGAGGTTTTCCTTTTCTCTACATCTATGCCAATACTTGTTTGTTGATTTATTTATAATTAGAGGCCCGGTGCACGAAATCTGTACACGGGTGCAGTCCCCAGGCCTGGCCAGCGATCGAAGTGCGAGCGTCTGGTGTGGAAGAGCAGGTCCCAGCTGACCCCTGGGTCCTGGGCAGCACCTGGGCCCCTGGGCCCCCACATGCTCCCCTCTGCCTGAGTCACGGTGCCTGAGTCCCCAGGCGGTGATGCGGTGAGCACAGCCGGGCCTCTGGGCTGCCCAGTGGCATCACACAGAAGCTGGGCGGGCAGCGTGCTCTCTCCCAGCTGGCCTCGCAGACCAGCTCCCGCAAGAACCCACGGGGAGCCTGACCAGCCCCTGAGGTCCTGGCTCACCCGGAAGAGGCGGCGCAGGTGCTGGGTGGGCTCCTTGCAGGCACCTGGCACCTGAGTGCGGGGGTGGGGGAGGAGGGTGCTCCTGGCAAGTGAACCCTGGCATCCAGGGGAGAGTAGCAGGGGGAGTGAGAGCGAGCTCAGTGGACACCCTGCATTCTTACCGCACCTCCGTCCCCATCACCCCTGCCCCCTGGTACCCAGCAAGAGGTCACAGAGCGTCACCGATGCTCACCATGTTCTGTGAAGCCCCCTGGTGGTCAACACACGTCATAGCGAGCAGTCTAACTCCCGGTCTCTGGTTGAATGACCACCCAAGGGGACAATTTGCATATTAGGCTCTTATTAGATAGGATAGCCATTCTGACAGGTGTGAGGTAATAGCTCATTGTGACTTTAATTTGCATTTCTCTAGTGACTAGTGATGTTGGACATCTTTTCATATGTCTACTGGCCATCTGTATGTCCTCTTTGGAGAAGTGTCTATTCAGGTCCTATGCTCATTTTTAAATTGGATTGTTTGTTTTTGTCTTTTAATTTTTATGTTGTTTTCTTTTTGTGTGTGGTTTATTGTTGTTATTAACCCTCATCTGAGGATATTTTTCCATTGATTTTTAGAGAGTGGAAGGGAGGGGGAGAGACAGAGAGAGAGAAACATCGATGTAAGAGAGGCACATTGATTGGTTGCCTCCCGCAAGCACCCCAAGGGGGGTCGGGGGATTGAGCCTGCAACTGAGGTACCCTTGACTGGAATCGAACCCGAGACCCTTCAGTCTGCAGGCCAACGCTCTATCCACTGAGCCAAATTGGTTAGGGATGGTGTTGTTTTTTTAAAGATTTTTTATAGAGAGAGAGGGAGTCAGAGAAAAACATCGATATGAGAGTGAAACATGATAAGCAGCCTCTTGCATGTCCCCAATTGGGGATTGAACCCATAACCCGGGCACGGACCCTGACTGGGAATCGAACCAGCAACCTTTCAGTGTACAGGACGATGGCCCACCATCTGAGCCTTACCAGCCAGGGCTGGTGTTGAGTTTCATAAGTTCTTTATACATTTTGGATATTAACCCCTTATCAGATGTACCATTAGAGAATATGTTCTCCCATCCACTGCTCCGTGGGGATGAACACACCTTTAAAGAAATAATTAAGTGAGAACGATGCTGTTAGGGTGGACTCTACTACAATCTGACCACTGTCCTTACAGGACCCACAGGAAGACACGGGTGGTGTGCCCACGGAGGAGAGACCACGCGAGGACATGGCAAGAAGGGGTCCATTTGCAAGCCAAAGAGAGAGGCCTGAAAGGAAACCGAACCCGCTGACCCCCTGGTCTTGGACTTCCACCTTCCGGCACTGTGAGGAGTAACGGTCTGTTGTTGAGGCTGCATGGCCTGTTGTGTTTTGTTATGGCTGCCCTAGCAGACGAACCGTCTCCGAACCTTCTCCAGAGCAGGGGTCTGGCTAGCCGCAAGGCTTTCTTTTTCTGGTTCAGGTGTAAAAGTCCAAGTTCAGAGCTGCATAGCTCGTAAGAACAGAGGTGAGTCCGAAGGCGGCCACCGGAGACCTCTGCCCTTCCCTGAGTGATGATGAGCAACTACGCAATGACTCTCAGTTGGAAAGTGTGACCGATGACAAAAAGTGGTCACAACACTGCAACTCCTTTCTTCAAGTGGTGAAGCCAAACCACCCCCCCCCCCGCCCCCGCCAAGGAAGCTGGGCCAGTCGTGTGACTTGCTGTGGCCAATCAAAGATGGCGGAAGTGCCCTAACCGGTTTGACTCAGTGGATAGAGCGTCGGCCTGCTGACTGAAAGGTCCCAGGTTCGATCCCGGTCAAGGGCATGTACCTTGGTTGCGGGCACATCCCCAGTGGGAGGTGTGCAGGAGGCAGCTAATTGATGTTTCCAACTCTCTATCCCTCTCCCTTCCTCTCTGAAAAAATGAATAAAATATATTTAAAAAAAAGTTATCTCCCCATAAAATTATAAAAAAAAAAGATGGTGGAAGTGATAGCATGCCAGGGCCTCACCAGGCCTTGCAGCTTCCGCTCCTGTTCTCGTTCCATTGCCGAGATAACAAGCCCAGGCCAGCCCGCTGGAGGGTGGAGGCCAACAGGCCCATTTACCACTGCGGCCCCAGCTGCCCCAGCTGCCCCAGCTGCCTCCAGGCCACTGCCAGGCCTATGGAAGAGGCCACCCTGGACCCGTCAGGGCCCTGGCACTCCCTGGCTGACACATGAGTGAGACCAGGACTGCCCAGAGGAATCATGAGCTAAAGAAATGGTTCCTATTTTAAGGTTTTGTTGGAGGGGGGTTGTTAGGGAGCAACTGACTGCTGGCACAGAAGGGGTCCTGATGGGCCCAGCTTTGGGGCCCCACTCACCCCTGACATGTGCCTGCTCGGTCACACTCCTGCGTCCCCTGCTGGTGTCCAGCACCGCAGTGTCGCTGCCCGCGTCAGTGTGTCCGGGCTCCGGGCGGCCCTCGGGGGAGGAGACCATGGCTTCTTGCTGGGCCCTGTGCCCTCGGAACCAAGAAGTGGAGAGAATGCCATCGAGGTTCCTGGGGACGGGAAGGTGAGCACTGGCTCCTTCTGTCAAGACGTCTGGAGGCGCAGAGGAGGGCAGCTCCGAGGAGGCAGGGCAGATGCAGGATGCGAGCAGGGTGCCTGGAGGGGTGGGGAGGAGAGGAGAGAAGAGGGGAGCGAGTGGGGCCCAAGGTGAGGTGCTGCCCCAAGCAGCCCTCCCCGCACTGGGGAGAATGAGTCCGGCACAGGGAGAGCTGACGTGGACAACAGTGATCATGGGAAAAATATTGTGGGAACGGAAGGGAACGTTCACTGAGAACCTCCTGTCGGCCAGACACCGTTCTAAGCACCGAACATGTGTTAGCTCACGTCTTCCTTATACATCGACCTCACAAAGCACACCTTACACTGGGCTGCACTCTCTAACCCAGGGGTGGGCAAACTTTTTGACTCGAGGGCCACAATGGGTTCTTAAACTGGACCGGAGGGCTGGAACAAAAGCATGGATGGAGTGTTTGTGTGAACTAATATAAATTCAAAGTAAACATCATTACATAAAAGGGTACGGGCTTTTTTTTTTTTAGTTTTATTCATTTTGACCCCACAAAGCACACGTTCCACTGGGCTGCACTCTCTAACCTCTGCTCTGCTGTGTCCAGAAAGGCTGGCCTCTCTGAGCTCCCTTGTTGGTGTCCCGTCCCCCCCCCCCCTTGCCCTTTGCTTCTGACCGTGGGAGTGACCTTGTGGTTATGGTCCCACAGCTCCCTCCCTGCTCCATCAGCACAGGCGGGCTGTGTCGCTCTACTAAAGCTCCTATTGGGTGGCCATCTATCTCTCCCTCTGGCAACTTCTAGCCTGGGGAGGCGGGGCAGGGGGAGTCACTGCTTCCACTGTTGCCAGCCCCTGGGTCCTGCACAGTCCCATGTCGCTTTACCAATCCTCTGCCTTCACCTCTGCAAAGTGTCCCTTTACCAAGCCCTGCTCATTACTCCCTTTGAGTTCGCCATCTCCTTCTTGCCTCCGCCTTTACTGATCCAACTATTCCACCCCTATTTGAGGTGAAGAAACAAAGATGCGGAGAATGTAAGACATCTTTCCAGGACGTTATAGGTGGTAGGCAGCACCTACGGAGTCGAAATTCTCCACCACTGAAGTACATTGTGGAGTGAGTCCCCCGCTCTCAGTTTCTCTCACTTCCTCTCGTTAAATGTCCGCGTTGCTTAGAGCTTGAAGCCGAGCCCTGGGAGTCTGGCTCCAGACCCTCTGCTCTTGGCCACCCCACTCTGTTACCTCTCACTGGAATGGTGACTGTTGCAGTACGAACAAAAGCTCCTTCCATAAAAGACTGGAAGGTTTGCCCTGGCCGGTTTGGCTCAGGGGATAGAGCGTCCGCCCACGGACTGAAGGGTCCCGGGTTCGATTCTGGTCAAGGGCACATACCTTGACCGGAATGCAGGAGGGAACCAATCAATGTGTCTCTCTCACATCATGTCTCTCCCTCTCCCACTCTCTCTAAAAATCAATGGAAAAATATCCTCGGGTGAAGATTAACAACAACAAAAAAGACTGAAAAGTTTGACAAAAATAAAAAGAAACATCTACAAAAGTTAAAAAAAAAATACAACACACCCACTACCCACCAACAACAAACCCACCACCCACAAAGTCAATATAACAATGACCTACCAGGGAAAAGCATTTGCAACTGACATCACAGACAAACAGCTCATTTCACTAATATGTAAAGTGCTCCTAGAAATCAATAAGAAAAATATCAACAACCTAACAGGAAAATATACAAAAGATATGGGTAGGTGATTCCTAGAAAAGAAAATTCAATGTCTCTTGACATAGGGACAATGTTCAACTGTACTGACAGCAAGATAAATGGAAATTAAAACAAACTGAGGTAACAGGTAATGCTTTGCACCTAGCAGACTGGCAAATGTCCAAAAGTTTGATGTTGTGTCAGTGAGACTGAGGGAACAGGAAGCTCACACACGCTGGTCCAACCCCACGCAGAGGGCAGACTGGCCAAGTCTTTTCAAGATTAAAAATTCCCAAATCTAATGCGTGTAAAGTGCTTACAACGGTGTGCTAACAAGGTGACTTGTTATGGGGCAACGGGCGAGGTGGGGACCTTGGCCTGGCGCCGCCCACGTCCCCCGCCACCCACCCCTGGTTCCTGGTTCGCCATTGGGCGATCGGAGCCTGCCAGCCTGGGAAAGGGACCGAGAGGTGGTCAGTGTGTCTCATAGTGACTGGTCAAGTGGTCGTTCTGGTCCTTCTGCTGTTAGGGTCAACTTGCATATTACCCTTTTATTATATAGGATTATTCAGAAAGCGAACTCCTGTTCATGTGGAGGAAGCCTAACAGCCCATTAACTTGGTCTAAACAAGCTTCCAAAGAACATGGCATCCATGAAAAAGGAAAAGAACGAAAGGACAGTTGAAGGACTGAGGAAGAAATCACCAAGAAATTGTAAAATAATAATAATAAGAAGAAGAAGAAGAAGAAGAAGTGATATGAAAAAAATAGCAAATACTTTGTAATGTATCCGATTGCCCCAAACATAATAGAGACCTTAAATGCATAAATATGTCACAATATATACTTATATACTATATCTGAGGCCCCTAGAACCATAAGAAATGCAAAAAATTCACTGTTAATAACTCATCCTCAAATTGCCCCCCTTAACACATTGCGTACCGCATAGAAATCTCTAAGACATACGCCAGGGACCGCACGTTTTTGGGCAAACTGCACGTTATTTAAATCATCATAATGCACTTTAGGTGTTGTTTTTCAATAATTATAACATTTTTATTTACAAAAACAATTAAACAATTAAAGTTCCTAGTACTTTTTTAACGTATGGTACTGCGTAAAACATTTTCCTCTATGAAGAGGGACCAAACAAAATTTACATAAGTATCTAGATTCGCTCCTTTTTCCATGGGCGTGAAAAACGAGAACACTCGTGAGCGGTCCTTAACAGATGG